CAATAACAATTGCCGATGCAAATTCACAACTAACAGTCTAAGACCAGTTACTAGTTTATGGCCAACAACTGAAATTATTTCATTGCATCAAAGACTTAGAGATAGTCAAGTCAAGAAACTTAACTAAAAGAAAAATCATTCACATGTTTATAAACTTTTTCTAGTTGAAGATGACCATGGGAGCTTTATCACCTTTAGACCAAAACCAGTCCACTTGTTCCACACTCTAGTTGTAGCCATGAGAAGAGAATGCAAGTGCAGTGATATGTGGTTCTAATTTTTGCCCCAAGACCCAAGCCATCGGGCACTAGCTATGTAGCCGTAGACTTTGTCATGTAATGCCGCTGGCTAGCGTGTTTGTTTGTGTGTTTGAGCATATGAAAGGTGAAAATTTTAGGTAGGAACTTTGTCACTACATAACAAGATGAGGAGAGGTATTATCTACACAATTCCGATGATGTGACAAAAGAGTCCCCATCGATGTTTGCTCCTAAAAAAGGGTGTTGGAAAATTGAAACTTGTGCTTTGGATTATGGTTTCTAGATGGACATTCAAAGCACCACAATACGATGCCGCTGCCAGCAGCTTACCAGTTTTGTATGGAATGAGGGGATAAGAAGAAATGGAGAACACTACAAGTTGTTGTAATAGTTCCATGCCTTCATCCTGACATGCTATCAACTTTCTATCAAAAACAATCCTGACTTTTCCACACAAATCATTGGAATAGTTCCGAAATTCATGTACATGAGCAACATTGACCTTAAATTAAATTTAGAACTCTTGACACAATTAATATAGAGGAAATTGTAACAATAGTCCTTCAACGTGCAACTATGGCTTTTTTTTGTCAACTCTGTCGGAGCTTCTTTCAAAATGATTCACGTGTCATGCACATGAGATTGAATCAAGGGGCAAATATAGAAACCCAAATGAGAAAATTGTAGCAATGGTGCGTCAGCTTTAACCCAATTGTAGCAATGGTCTTTTCAACATGACTTATTTTGATAGAAGTTCTGCAGAGTTGGCGAAAAGGATCATAGCTACACATTTAGTTAAATGACCATTGCTCTAATTGGATTAAAATTGAGGGACTATTGGTACAATTTTCTCATTAATATAAGATCCTTTTTCTCATAAGAAGTATATTCTATGAGTTTTATTCTAATGTTGACATGTATCGTACCATGATTGACCTCCTGGTTGGAAGGAAACTCTTGTGCTTCGGCAGGGATGCCTCAGCATGAATCCTTCAATGGGTCCTTGAAAGTATGAAGTTGACTGGTACTTGGTAGTTTTGGGATTGGTCAAGTGTGTGGTATTACCAACAGGTTTCATTGTTTCTGTAGATGAGCGAAAAAGCAAAGCAGAATTCACAAGTAAAGTAGAAAAGATTTTTACCAAGAAAAAAAAATGTTTATAAAGATTAATGGCCATTTTTGATAAATGAGGTAATTTTTGTTAGTTTTGATGAAAAAAAAAAGGCATATTTTAATTATGTAACTAACACTTTTCTTAATTCACAATAAGCATACAATGTTAAAACCCTCTTCGAATTGTGTTTGGAATTAGCTTAAATGATAAGAAAATGTAGAATAATGAGTTGAAGGTTTTTGTCACACACATTTATACGTATGCTTATTGTCCAAATTATTTAAATATCAATGATTTTCTGTATCTCCAGCATGCATGATAGAGATTGATGGTTATGTCTGAGTTGGAGCTTTCAAATAATTTTGCTTTTTTTGGTCATGAGGAACCGTCATTTTTTAAATGGAAGGTTTATGACCACATCTAGCTTATGACCTCAAAATTCATGGCTTATCGTAGATGATTATGAATTTTTTAAACAGTCATTTGATAGCTATTTTGTTGTTAGCTTTTAGTTTTAATTTTTATTTCATTCTAAAACTGAAAACATGTTTGGTAACTATTTTCAGTTTTCAAATTGAAAATTAAAACTAATTAGTTATCAAACGATCCGTGAGCGATCTGACAAGAAATTGTGCAAGAAAATTATGAAAACCAAATACATGATGATGATACTAAATATTTACGTGAAGGAAATCCTTGATGCTAGAATGCTTAATTGTGATCATACGATAATGCTTAACAAATGATTATTATTTATCTATTTAATTATTTGTGAATGTGAAGCCAAAAACCCTGGCTACTAGGCCCCCATAAAAGGCATCCTCTTTTTAGATTTGTATTAGGGCACACCTAAATTCCGACAGGCATCACAAAAGATTGTACATGTTATTGTTGCTGTTTCAAGGGATTTCGAAGTTTTGAGGAATTGAGAACAAGGTGGTGAGTAATGGGGATTAGGATCCTAGCCGAATCCTCTTTTAGGGGATCCGAATGATCAATTAATTGTATTCGTTCATCGTAATCATATAGTCAGAAATTATTTTAAATTTTTTATTTAAAATTAAATATAAATAGTACCTAACGAAAACTAACCGCACAATGTACGATAAACATACACGATTAATTGATCCTCCAGATGCCCACAAAGAGGATCCGAAGAGGATCTAAAGAATGGATAACAAAAAATTGATAGGATGAATTAAAAAATGCACTTCATGATCATTATAAAAACATGCAATAGGGATTTGTAAATGACACCTTTTAAGTACGACTACAAAGAAAAAACACCTCTCTCTCGTTGAAAACACAAACAAAGGAACAAGCAAAAGCCGCCGACCCTAGCCTTTGGCTTGGGTGGCAACCCCCTTTTATTCTCCTCCTTTCGTCCTTCTCTTCTTCTTCTTCTTTATTTTGGTTCTCTTCTAAGTGTTATCTCAATTTTCTTTGGCCTCAGTCTCAATCACCCTCTAAGCTTGTCTCAGTTTTGGGTTTCATGCCCCTGCTTTGACTTTCATCGCCACTTATCCTCTAAGCTTGTCTCAGATTTAGACTTCATGCCCCTTATCCGACGTTTTTCGCCTATTTTTATTACTTTTTGGTATTTATTTTTCCTTGCTCTCCCCTCATTTGGGCTGTGGCTCACCTTTTTCTTGAGCTTTTTACTTTGTATGGTGTTGTTTAGCTGCTCTTTTTGGGCCTTTTTATTGTTTTCTTCCTTCTTTTTTTTTTTTCCTGTTGTTTTGCTTGTATTTAGATTGTGGGATGCTTTTGGACCTCTCTTCTCCTTGTACTATTTTTTTTTCAGTGGAAGTGACTTTGTTTGACAAAAAAAAAAAAGAGTAGGGATTGGCATATCCCTCTCAATAATGGTCATGGACGGCTTTTGTAATCATTACTGTCTAACATTTTGTGATCAATTTCTTAATAACTTGACCTTAATCCCTCGGTACTTGAAAAAACCTCACTCAAGCATAAAAAAAATTTCAAAACCAAAGAAATATGTATATTTTGATATCAAGAACTTTTGTGCTGCCCATAATTTTGAGCAAAATGGAGGGCTTGTAGCATTTGTTTCATTACCAGTGTTAGAACTTGGGACCACAGACTATGACTACAGACCATATTCATGAAGAAGGGGGGAAAACACATATTACTGGCCAAAGAAATTAAGCACTAATATATGATTATGGTGATGCACCCATCTCTACATTATTAATTAAGTATTGCAGTGAGTGAAGGATTACTTGTGGGATTTTGTTGCATTTAAGAACCTGATGTTAATATTTTTTTTATAGGATATATTTACACCAAGTGAGAAATTTGTGTTAAATCACACCATAAACCAGCTATAATAAATTGGTATCAAATTCGTCACCCAGAAAAATAAAAATCAAGACCTTATACTTATAAATGAAAAGATTAGGGTAGATTAAGAATTGCCAATTAAAGTGTTTTCAATGTTATGACTGCTGTGATGAAAGGGTTTTATATGGAATTTTAAAACAGAAATTTTATTTCCTACAAGGAGGATTTATTCCAATGTGGTTTTTTTGACGTCAGTTTTCAGATTTGCCCAAAGCTTCTACTACAATGGTGCACTTTGCCTAATTGGACGTTCATGCGACTAATCGAAAATCTTTATTTATTGAGAGTTAGTGCGTATAGTTGATGACTGGAGGCTAATTATGGAGCCCTCTCGAGTCTCGACGTATTACAAACAATTCGAGTAATCTATTTTTTAAGTTTCACTTCGTATTATTTTTGTAAAATATTAGCAAAAATATTAGTCAGAATCATAAATGATTAAGACATCTAATTGTATTTAAAGAAATTAACAAACATAGCACTCGAAAAAACATTAAAATTCCAACATGAGAATTGAATTGGTTAAAGGTTTCATAATGAGTTGACCTTTTACAAATGCGATATATTGATGGAGAACTAAAAACAGGTTTTTGGAATCATTGTAAAAATATATTTAAAATGGGGATCTCTTTTTGAAGGGTTTTTGTATATGTAAATCACGTTTTACACTTTCCAAATTTATTCAACAACATTTTCCTCGTAACATTGAGATTCTAGAAATAACCCTCGTCTATTTTTCCTTTTTTATTCAATCAATGTAGAATCGAACTTTTGTTGTAAGTGCGATATTTCTTTTCGAAAAATCTTCATATCGCTGGTTTTCTATGAGAAATGATAATCACGCATCGTTTTTCTCCTCCTACATACCTCTTTTCATTTTGGCCGTATCAAACAAAAACAACAGACAAATTAAACACGGGTGAGAAAAAAATGTGGGTATCATATTCCCTTTTCTTTTACTCCCTTCAATCCTGTAATTTTTTGGTTACATCCAGCTCGTCAACTGAATTGATTCATTTGTTAATCACAATTATTCTACAAAAAAATCATATAAAACAATGTGACATACTTTACAGCATGCAATCATACCCTTTCACTGAAACATAAAAACTACAAAATACAAACATTATTAATAGCTCCATTTTATTTCCAACTCCTGCAAATGTAACACTCTCAACAAAATTTTCTACACTAACTTCTCCCCAGCAGCTCTACAGAGCTACATTATCAACGAATATGGAACCAAAGAAATGAAACTACGATTCGGGCAAATGTCGATTGGTATTAAACCAAAGTTGTAAACTTACAAACAGAAATGTTTTGAATCTTGACAGAAAGCTAAACAGCATCAGTGCCACCTAGTTGGATCGAGACAGTAATTCAAAATTGTCACACGAAAAAGAAGTCGAGAAAGAAAGAATTATATCTTAGCCAATAGCCGTAAACACAATTCACCCGGTCCCTCAATGATAACAGACCTACTTGGGAGAGCGATTATCCAGAGTAGGGAAAATCTTAATATCGTTTATTAGTTTGCTTATATTACGGTCAATGAACCCCAAAATGACTGCTAAAAAGCTACTTCTGAAGGCGTTCAGTTTTGACTATACTGATGCTTTGGCTTCGTTTTGTAGAATGTCCAAAAGAAAATTGCTTTTGAAGACCACAAAATGCCACTTACATGCTGAGCTTGAACTTACCAATGTAACGAAGATTGTTTTTCACGATTTCCAGCATACGATGAAGCTTCTTGAGGCTGTACTTTAGTATCATCATTGATCACTTAGAAGTGGCTGTGATGCAGGAGCTGCAGAAGGAAATAATACCAGTAAGTACAGTATGGAATGAAAATGTAATGGTCACTTTGGCAAGGACTGCACATAAGAATTCTAGTTACCCAAGAACGAATTTTTGACGTCTATGATCACCTGAATCAAGGCATGCATGAAAGGGTGTGTTAAGCATAACTTTATATACAATTTAGGCCTCTCTACAAATAACTTAAAGTATTGTGCTACATTAATTTAGGAAACGTTTTGTATTCATATTTCCCAAATATTAAGATAACTCTTCCGGGTGTGTTAAGCATAACTTTATATACTACTAAGATGATGGTTCCACTGACCAGGATGGTTCGATCATGGAATGGAAACTCATCTTTAAGTATGACTAATTCTCGCGGAGATTATTTTCCTTCAATCAATCATGATCTGGCCTTTTTTCACAACATGGATGGAATTGATTACGCAGACCATCCAGTCATTCTATATTGTCAGTATTGGCTGAGGAAAGGAAGAAATGCAGGAAGTTCCTTTTAAGCAAATATTAAGGGAACAATGCAAAAAAGTAAGAATTACCTCCAAAACTTTGCTCACTGGATACAGGTACTGGTTTGCACATCTTCTCAGAAATTTCAGCTATAACCAAACGTGATAAAAGAAGCGTCGCAATAAGAGCACAAATCATTAACATCACAAATACTGCATCCCATCCCTTTGTTGAAAGGAAACCAGTAAGAAGAGGGCCAAAAGCTGCACCAACTGATCCTGTACCATCAATTATGGCGGTAACTGTTGCCAGTGCTCGAGAATCCCCTCTAAGGGAGCTGTGCGTACCAAGGTCTGCAGAAACTGCAGTGGTGATAAGTGCATAGGGCCCATTAATAAACAAGCCAGCAACCATCATAAGTGCAATGTTGGCATTGTGTGAAATGCTGCCATATTTCCGATATAAAAGCATTGCCGGAATTGCAAAAGACATGAAGCCTGCTGCTGTGGTAGCTCGAGCATTAAGTTTATCAGATATGTAGCCAGCAAGGATTCCACCAACTATGCCTCCCACATCGAACAAAGTGGAGAGATTTCCAGCAGATTTCACAGAAACATACTCTCCTCCTATTTCTGAAAAAGCATAAGAGGGAACAAGATGAGGAACAAAATATCAGATGCATGAACACAATTTAAAATAAATACCTCAAAAAAAATAAATAAATAAATATGACTCTGCTGTCACTTCGCCAGTTCATGAACATTGTTGCAATGTGATATAACATTAGACAACAAAGAGTGATCAATTACCAACGGCAATGTAAAATAACAACACTTACTAACAAGTAAGAACAGTGCGTGCGGATAAGGTTCTAATAGACATTACCATCGACAAAAGAACAGACGCACTCATGCAAAGGATCAGCATAAATAACTAGGTCTCATCAAAAGACATGTTTCCTCTGTTGTTACTAGTACTCAAATAATGTTGGAAACCAGGTGAACCTCACGAAGATAAACTTTTGCAGGCTACTAGGACTCCTTATTTGAGTACATGTTTATTCTTTGCAAATCATCTGGAAATCATATAAAGGAATTGGTAAAAATTTCCCTCAAAAACCTATCACCATCTACAGGATGTTTACAGAGAAAATAGATTGGCCACTCTCTCTCTCTCTCTCTCTCTCTCTCTCTCTTGGAACTTGTATAAAACAAAAATCACAAGAAACATGAGAAATTTGTCAGACAAATACCCTCCCTCACTTGCAGCTCCATCCTACACATGGAAAGGCAAAGAAATACAGACGGAAAGAGGCATATAAGTGCAGCCTTGTCTGCACCTTTCAGAACAACAAAAAGGTGGAGAATGGCAATTGGAGGCTTCAAAACCCAAGTCCTGAAAAACATTCTATGCCATTTTAGGCAATTAGATAAGAAAATTAACACACGCAACTGCATAGACTAGAAAGATGGAGACATAAGTAACATTAACTCTATCAACTCATAAGGAAGTTTATTGTGCACTTGTAGTATAACAGAGAGGCCCTAGACCCCAAGCACCAATGTTCTGCCAACATGTTCTTGACTATAAAATTATAAATAACAACCCATGGATACTGCAACGTTTATAATCTTCTTGTTCCAGATTAAAATAATAAAAATACAAAGGCAGAAGATATCTGAAAATGTAGATGGCATTCCCAAATCTTATAATTTGTTACGTCGTATCAGTCAATTCAGATTATATATAAAACCATGAATGTTATGTTACCTGTCTGACTTAGATAAAATGGTAGCCAGTACAGAAATGTGTAGGCCACAAGCTTTGAGAAGAAGAGGCACAACGCAAAAGGTATAACTCCTGGTATTGTACAAGCTTGAATAAGTCCAATACTCGTCCTACTCACAGACCCAATTCGGCGAACAGTTTTTGTTTCACCCTCGACAATGAATCCTTTTTTTATATTAGCTTCTTCGTCGTCGGCCGTTGCCTCCAAATTAGGAGCTGAATTTGGTGGGAAAGAAAATCCAATATCTTCAGGATAAGCAGCCAAGAAGAAGAAAACGATTAGGCCTCCAACTGCTATAAAAGCACCTGGAACAATAAAGCACCAACCCCACCCATAATCCAGAACACTAGCAGCAAGAAGTGAACCACTTATATTCCCAACCGAAGTATGCGCATTCCATATGCCCATTATCAAACCCCTCTTACCCTTTCCAAACCAATTACCAATCACAGCAACAACCGAAGGCCAACCTGTTGCCTGGAACAACCCGGCAATCATTTGCATCCCAAGATAGTAACCAAACACATGGATATTCCAAAAGTATCCCATCCCAAACAGGGCAACAAAAATGCCACTCCCAATCATCCCGGTCGTCAAGAACAACCGGAGGTCCAATGTATCTCCCAAATGACCAGCAACATACATTCCCAAAGAGTAACATGCAAGAAATGCAAGATCAATCTCCCCCAATTTCGACGTCCCATCGGTTCCATTGAAGGGGGCCCAACCCTTGTCTAACCTATAATTCTCATTGCCCTCAAACTCTCTCTTGACAAAGACTTTGCCAAACAAGGGGTCCAAGCCATTGCCTTTATTGGGGTCAGGATACAAAACACTTTTAACTATACTACTGGGTTTTCTAGATGCATGGTAACATGTATAAGCTATGAAAGTAACAAGCAAAATCACATATCTATATGTAGAAAGACTCCAGTCTTTGCCTCTAATGCTTCTAATCAGCAAAATCCCAGGTGGGATTCCTCTCATTGTATCAGAATTCTGAGACATTTTAACAATCCCACAAAAAACTAAAACCAAAATCAAAACAACCCAAAATTCTTCACAAGACCTTCATATGGCATTCATTTTTCATGTTCAAAAACTACCCAGAACGCAAAATTGCAGGTTTCATGTGTCAAAATATCAGAGCAAAAGCTTTAGAGAGGGAGAGAGAGTAGGATGAGCTTGTTGAATTGACGAAGAAGAACTGAGGCCTTAAGAGGCCAAAGATTCAGGCTTGCATCCCTGAGAGGATGAGAGGGAAAGCGTAGAGGGCGGGGAGGCAGAGGGAGGACAAGTGGAGGGATATGAGTAATGGAATGGAACTGGTTTTGCTGTGCTTGGGCGCCACGTTTTCTTTCCATAGTGTGAGACTGTGACGATTGGTGACACAGTGGATGATGGAGTGTTTGTATTTGCTCGGCTGCGAGAAACGCGTGGCGGTTTCTGTTGGGTTTTGTGAAACATGAATCACGCATGTGTACAAAACAGCAAACAAATTTATAAACGGAACTTTAACCAAAAAAACTTTCATTATGTTCACTTTAGCGAAAAATCATATTTTTACGTTAAAAATTCAATCTTTGTACTATTTACTTTACCTTTTATTTTATTCTTACGGTTAAAACTCAAAGTTTTCAAATTATTTTCATTAATTTTCCAATTTATTTAAACTCTAAACTATCTCCAATAGTTGGGATAAATCTTAAACCGCTCAAATCATTTTTAATTAGGATAAACATGATATAAGTTTTTTTTTAACAAACGATAGTATCTACTTATAATTTAGTTTATTAAAACTAGTCTCTCACCACGCGCTCATACGCATGCGAGAGGCATTTTTGTATCACGGACGTTGCGCGCCCCCAAAGATGTGTTGCTTTAGATATTCTTATATTTCTTAAGTGATTACTGAAAATGAATAGGATCTCATTATTATGCCTAGGAGAACGACTTATATAAAAATAACTAACACAACATATTTTAAGTGGTGCGTAGCGCTCGTGATTAAAAAATGTCTCTCACATGCTCGTGAGCCCATGTGGAGAGGCTAGTGAACATGAACGCTACGTGATGGCACACATATTCTTATATATGTTGTTCTCCTAGGCATAATAAGATGACTACGCTACGTGATGACACGCATGCGTACTTGCTCACATGCTTATTTCTTATTGGAACTTAGGCAAACATTTGAAGTGGTTGTTGACAATTGGAATATTAACTAAGCATTGATTAACGTACTTATTTTCTATTGGTGACATATCAAATAATTTGCATATTTAATTTAAAAATTAGTCTATCTAACATTATTCTTCTCTACAAATATGAATAAAACTCTTAAACATGTGCTATTAAAAACTAACGTGCCAATCTGTGGTAATTAAATCCCTAATTACAATTGGTATACAGAGTACAATGCCTAGGTTCTTATTATACTTGACCCTCTCTTATCTTAATCCCACTCGTGATTGTGTCAGAGTCTGTAAATCTGCACACCATGGTCACCTCAGACCTTATTCGACGACGACGTCGAAGAAGTGGTCGTATCCTATCACCAAGGGCTAGTAATAAACAAATTTTTGGTTAGAAAGAAATCAAACTTCAAACCATGTCCACCCTACTATTCGTTTAAAAAAACATAAAAAATGTGAACTAAAAATATTATCAGGCAAATCCTTAAACTGCCCAAGAAAAGAATGTAAAAAAAAAAAAAAAACAAACAATTCAAATTACCAGAAAACAGAAATGAGATGTTCTACAAAATCATAATTTCATCATTCTTTCTTCAACTCAAGCAATCGGAACTGCACAGCCTAGCCCATACTGCAATAGCATGAATAATGAATGAGCTCCAGGACCATAAAATCCACCCTCTAATGTTGAACATTCTATACCTAACCCGAATTGGTACACCCATAATTATGTACTCACTCACTCCTCTAACTGCGTCAACTCTCTTATTCGCACAACAATATGAACAGATGATCCACCACCTGCTCGAACGAAGCCAATGCACTCACACTCTTCCCCATTTTATTTGCTCCGAATCACATCAGTCCAACCAGTTGTCCCATGTATTTCATCACATCCCTGACGCAGATCATGTCCGACAGTCTATGTTCATCCCATGTTGTATCGTATGCAGACTCGCGTCCGTTCAATCTCAAGCATCCTCTGCACTTCCAGAATGTCATTTCTTGCGAATTGGAAAACTAATCGCAACCAAACTCAGAAATTAGGAGCCTTCGAGAATATAACAAATAAACTAAAAACTTAAAAGCCAAGAAAATAAAGAGACCTATACCAAAATTAGAAGCACACAGCCAAATTGGTAAATATTAGTTTATAGATTTACAAAATATAAAGAGACCCAATTCCAGAACTAGAAGCACATAGCCAAGAAACTAAAAAGAAAAAAGACTCAATGAGTGTGTGAAGAAATAACTCAACCCAGATACATAACCACATAAAGTAATCCAAAAAACCCAAAAGTCACACAAATTAGTCAAATTCTTTTTGGCAGAAAAGAAGAACATATAGTGGGAAACTCGTTGCTGGTGTAGCAAATAAGCATACAGGCCTTCCCCACAGCCCCATCTCCCAGAGTCACGCACTTGATGAACCTTGAAGAGCTTCAAGCCATTGGAAACTACGAAAATACTTAGAGAGCCAAAATCTACATAGAAAACGAAAAGAAAAGATTGGTTGTGATTGGGTTGTTGGGATATGCACAAACAGAATGATCTGGTAAAGCTACAGGCTACAGGATAAGATTCAAAAAATATTAAACCAAAAACCAGTATATAATTTGTACCAGTGTGAGATGATTCTTGGCAACTAAATAGAATCCAACGAAACTGAAATTCACTTTGGAGAAAGAGTAAGTCGTATCAATGTAAGATGAGTCTAACCGACGGGAGAGATCTGATGAAATTCAGAAGAGACTTCTAAAAACCACTCGGAGGAGATGAGTCTGTGCAGAAAACGAAAGTGAGTTTGTTTACTTTTTGTATATATTGTGGGGGTTAAGTGATGATTTGAGGTCTTTAGAACGTGCGGTAAATGGCGGTTCCTTCTCCGATATTGGCAACTGCTGCAACTGCTGTTCTGAGTGGAAGTGTGGAGAGTTTCTGTTCCATCTGGAGTGGTTTTCTTTTATTTTTTTTATATTATTTTTGTTTTTTTTATATGGTGAAAATATTAGAGTGCAATGTAGTAGTTATACGAAGATCAATCTAAGGGTTGACAATGAATTTTAAAGCGTGGATGTTTTCATCTAGTAGTCCAGAATGTCCATGGTTAAGATAGGCACATATGCGGAGCATTCCGCTTTTTGTAGATAATTTATTAATGTTGTGATATTATCGTTTTGACCCTATTTCTATGAGCAATTATACGTTAGCTTTGTGTGTGAAGTGAGGACATTCTTGGCATTTCCGAATGTTTCAGCATTTTGTCCTTCTCACTTTATATATATAGATAGATAAATTTAGTATCTTAAGTTTAATATTATTTTATAACCAATCATTATCTTTTTAATGATAAAAATTATAATAAAAATTAAATTTCTTCCTAATTATCTCTTTAATTATACTTTTTTTGTTTATTTTTTGTTATTTTTTGTTCTCTTTTTTTGCTCTAAACCTCATTCATAGATTTTATTTTTAATTTTTATAATCAATCTAATTTTATTTATCTACGTATATGACATATTCTTTTTTATAATCAACTCTATAAAAAAAATTAATGTATCTTTTTTATAGGTATACTATGTTTTTCTATCTTTAGGTTTAAAATAATTGTAAAAAAAATAAAGGTGGAGAACAGCTAATATTGGACTTAACCTAATAACCACGTTGATTTTTGGACCCAAATCTAAATGCCCCTTTCAATTATTTAGGTATAAATTATAATAAGCCTTTCAAAAATTTGAGCTCCTCCCAAAATTTGAAACCTATAGCATAAGCCCTAAACTTATCTCAAGGACATTCCAATACTTTAAACCTAAAATGATTAACCACAAACCTCGACGTGCCTTCTAAAACCCTGGGTGCATTGTTACACCGGACTATCTCGGATTAGACTAGCTTCAGGGACTAAGTTGGACTGGCTTAGACTAGACTAAGTTGGACTAACTTAGTGAAGTGTTTGGTGCAGTGTCGGACTAACAAGCAGGATAATTAACAAACTCTAATATTATGTTATTTAATCCATAATTATTAATATTTTATTTTCATCCTATTTTTTTATCCCTCTATTCCACCCTTACCGTCCCATTCTGTCCCTTTTTTCCTCCCTTTTTTCTCCCTTTTCCATTCCAATCTTTTCCTCCCCAGATTAAACCACTCGATTCCAGCCTCTCTGACACACCCCGACCAAGATCAGGGCGTGCTGGCCGTCACGCAAAGGTGACGTAACCATGTGCGCGTGCGGAAGCTATTAAGATAGTAATATAAAAGTACGAATAATTAAAAACCTAATAGCATACAAAGTACTAGTGTATGTGAGACACAATTCAGAGCAAGTCTACAACAGTCCAAAGGAAAAGATACGACATAATTACACCCGAAGGTGACCCTACAATGGTGAATGTCTGTCAGAAATTGCCGGGACGCCCTCTGGGATAAACCACCGAACCTTCTAGACCACTAGAACCTGGAGGGGCGCAAAAACAAAAGCGTGAGTGGGCAAAAACAAAGTTCTTTGAAAACTCTTTAGCAAAACACATTCTAACCCCTCGCCGTAAAACCTGTATACTTCCCAGAAAATGAACATATATACGTATGTATAGATATGTCAATCATGCTTCACCATAATATGCCATTCATGCTCACAATATGCCACAACAGAATATCATAATCAAATATAAATGCTCAAGCGTAATTCACATCAATAACATATAATCTGGCAGCCGGGAGTCACCTAACGTGACCTGTACGGCTGAATCTAGAGCTCCACTCTCAACTCAATAACTGAATCTGCACACGAGTCGGAACCACCTAACGTGGTCTGTACGACAAGCTGGGTGTAATATATATATGTATGCTCTAGTGCTACGATCACGTGAAGCTGTGCGATAATCGCGGGTCACCTACAAGTCGGAACCACCTAATGTGGTCTGTACGACAGGCTTGCACCTATCTTGGATCCAAGGCGAGCATGCGGTGCTGGTGAACATACACGTGAAGGCTGTGCCCTGGCCCGGGGCGGGAGCACTAACACCGGGGGTGCAGATTATGAGCTCTCTAAACCTCTCAAACTACCATTGCATAATAAACAGGAATGCATAACCACATGAATACCGCTTACCTGGCACTTACCTGTGCATCCACAGCACCAAATACGCATTTATATATATGTATGCCACTACTAATACATGCGATGATGCGTAAACAATATTCAAATGATGCATGGCATAAAACATATAACCTTTTCTATTTAATTTCTGGGAATTAATATGTATATAGGTATATACGGAAAACAAAAGCCCACTCACTGGTAATTAGAAGGGTCGTAGCCCCCCTGCCTCGAGTGTGTACGCTCGTCCTCGGAGAACGAATCACCTATACGCGACAAAGTTACGAAAACATTAATTTAAAAGCACCTAAGCAACTTCTCGTAATAACTTCTCATACATTGTTCAAATTGGACAAATGAATATACCAACGTGACCTACACAACCTCAGGATCACGCCCATATTTTTAGAAAATTTTTTGGACCACGCACGCGCCCCCACGCGCCGGCCAAGGCACGGACCTACGCGGCCACGTGCCAGGCACACTGACGGTGTCAACTGACGCCGTCAGGAATATTCCGTTAAACTGACGGAATATTCCGTTAAATCCAACTGTTACCGTTAACTGCCGTTAGGAATATTCCGTTAAACTTAACGGAATATTCCTCTGTCTTCTCCGGCGACGGCGCCGAAAAACTGGGTAATTTTCCAACTTTGTTTTCTCCTTCGTTTTTCAACCAAATTTCACGTTCTTTATACCAAAATGAAGCTTAGAACTAGTAGAATCACGTTGGACTACTTTTAAGGCCTAAAAATCAAGGAATCTCACCTGCAACAACGATCCAAGTTCGGCCAACAATTCCACGAAACCCTAACCAATTCCCGCCAGTAAAGCTCGGGTTTTCAGCTGCCCTCTGTCGCCGCTCTTCCAATTGCTCTCGGGTTTCGCTCTCTAGGGTTTCATCGACTTCAATTGGGTCCGTTTTCAGTCCCATTGTTTCTGCAATGTCGAAACGGAACTTTGTTGTGAGAGCCGAGCCGAGCTCTGAAGGTGAAACCGGAGCCACCGATAATGCCCAAGAGAATGAAGCAGCTGGGAGCGGGGAGGCCTCTGTGGCCGTGGTAGAATCTGAAGCAGAAGCAGAAGCAGTGCTGGAGTCTGAACCCGAAGAGCCAAAGCCGCCGAGAAAGTCTCGGGTTAAGCTCGGAGATATAATGGGGGTAATTTATTCCCTTTTCTCTATTTTGCTGCTTTGCTTCGTTGATGTGAAAAGTGCAAATAATAAGTATGAAGAACTGAACATAATTTTGAAACCGAAACCGAAACCGAAATTATGTTTGGTGAAGTAATGTGGAAATGAAAATGACATCAAGGTTGTGTTGAGTTCTGATCTCAGCAGAAAATGCGTAATTAAATAAAGGGGATTGCCTGGAATGTAGATTTAAACACGGTATTTTCGGCTGGAATGTATGTTTAAACACGGTATTTTGAGGAAAGCTGAAACACTAACTTCCTTGTTACTGTAAACCTTTCTTAATTTATTAGTCATTTGTTTTTTTTGCCCTTCAACCGTATGGTAAGTGAGATTAATGTTGACCGGAATTCTTCTGTTTGGTTAGATATTAAATAAAAGGGCAGTTGAGGCGGCAGAGCAGAAAAGGCCAGTTCCGGACATTAGGACTGGAGATGTTGTGCAAATTAAACTGGTAACAGTGGTTCTGCTTTATTTCTTCAGATTTATACCATACAACATTGAACCTGTTGTGATTCTTTTTATGTGTATGACTTACAGGAAGTTCCTGAAAATAAGAGAAGGTTGTCTATCTATAAAGGCATTGTCATTTCCAGACAAAATGCTGGTATTCACACAACTGTTCGCATTCGGAGGATTATTGCTGGCATAGGGGTTGAGATTGTGTTCCCGCTGTAAGTTTTCTTTTGTGTTCTGCATTTTGTGCTTGATTTTTATGCTGAATCTATTGTTTATAATACCCCCGCTTCACAAATAACTTGTTGGGCTATACATGATTCCCTGGATTCTGATGACATGACTCTGAAGAAGCTAACATGTAGAAATCTAGCTGGGATACTTATTGTCGCTGATGTTTATTTATTAAAAGATTTTCTAGAGTCTAATGTATTATAATCATACGTTTCCTTTCCTCGAAATTAAACAACTTGATCCATCTTTGTAGTTGGGTGCATAGGTGATCAAAACTTTTCAGAAACATGCATAACCTAGGAGGTTGTAATGCTTGGAGGGAAAAACGTTTATGCTAATTGTATTATTGGATTCTCTCATCCCAAACACCCCCAAATGGCTTTCTTTTTCTCTTTTTTCTTTCGACTTTTTGTACTTGATAATATATGCGAGAGAAGAAAAACCCCTTACTTTAGTAGAATATGCTAGAATTCAGTTTTGACTTCATGATGATGATGCTTAGGCTCGAATGAGTGTTAGATTGCTTACTGGTAATTTCTCCCCTTAAAGCCTTCCCTCGAGTTTTGAAATAATTCGAGCGTTATAATCATATCTTCCGTGAAGAATATATTTTATATGATATGTTTTTTATTTTTGTTGCTTGTTATTTCAGATACTCACCAAACATTAAGGAGCTAAAGGTACTGAGTCACAGGAAGGTCAGGAGGGCAAGGTTGTACTATTTGAGAGACAAGCTTCCAAGGCTATCGACTTTCAAATGAGAAATGGTACGCGGCTCTTCTTTGGTTGTTTTCGGTTTCAGAGTAGTCTCATGAAAACTGTCACATTATAAAAAACTTATGTATCCAGGAATCCATTTAATGTGATATGTGTATCAGTTCTCCCCAATTTTTGTTGTATCTGCTATAGCAATACTAGGTTGTTTTCGCCTTTTCGTTCTCATGCTGTTTCAGTTGATTAATTGGGAGGAAATCTGTGTTCTTTTGCATGTAAGTTATGTTTCCTTCCCTCCTGGACTTCTTCCCTAGCCTATGGAAACCTCTCGTGTTTGGAAATGGAGGTGATTTTCACATACCCTATCTAGCCATCGGATTGGAGAAATCAAATAGAATCAATGCACATGATTTAAAAGAGATTTGTGAGAAGCTAAAAGGAGTGTTTTATCATTTTCCATTTGGAAACTACTTACAACCTATGCCATGATCAGTTTAAAATTGAGTGCTAAAATTGATACTAGCAATTTGACATTAAATTATTAATAGTAAAAGTATAACGTGTAAAATTTTTTGAACGAGGTAACTTAGTACTCCGGTTTAATGATATTTTTTCCACTTGTAGATGAGAGTCTTAATGTTCGAATTTTGTGATCGGTGGTGAGTTCGTAATAGCCTTCCACCCTTTTTCGGTTTATGCCCGAATATGCATCCACTATTCAGGCAGCGCAACTCTTCTAAATAAAAAAACGATTGGTATGTTTTCATGATTTTCACCCTTCGGTTTCGGATGGTCGGCCTTAAGGCTGTAATATTTATGAACTTATGATCTGCCTTAAGGTTTTTAACTTTTTTTTTTTTTTTTTTTTTTCGGTCAAAAGATAGATTTTGTTGGATTAGATTTTTTTTTTTAGTACATCGATATTTTTACACTAGGAGGATGGGGAGTTTGGCTACGCCACACAGTGGGCAACCTAATTTGGTATTGAATTCATTATCCACGAGATTCGAATTTAAGACCTCTCACTTCTAAGTGAAGAGGAATATACCGTAGTACTGAGTGGTTTGTTAGATTAACCACTGACGGGGTTCGAACCTACGCTGTCATGCAAGGCTCAACATCTTTTCACTACTATAATAAAGGGCCACTTGCGCCTTAAGGTTTTATTGACAATCCATAATTTGTTTAACATAAAAAAAAATTAATGGAATTGAATGCCAATGATTAAATTGATTTGCAGAGGTAAATTTCAAGAACGACTTCAATTGATTTGAAAGGTGAGACATCAAAATGATGAGTTAGTCATATTCTAAGAACTGATAAAATCCTATTAAGGTGGGGGAAATGTTAGCTCTAAAATCAAAGTTTTAATCCCTAAAGATTTTCTTAATTTATATGATTATAAATCTAGATAAGTTAATTATGCTAAGTCATTTTAACAATTGTAAACTTCGTCCAAATTTTAAATTTATTTATCTTATCTAAATAGAGGGTGTACGTGACAATTAAAATATCACTTAATACTACGATCTAGTGGTATTCTTCTTTATTTATAAGTGAGAGTTCTCAGGTTCGACTATTGTCAAAGATGAATTCCAACTACATTATTACAAACCCATCATGAGGCTAAGTCCACCTCATCTTTTATCGTTTGTTCAAAAAAAAAAATCGAATAAGACCAGTATAAGGTTGGCACAAAGGTTGTATCAGGCTTTCTCTCCCCCGTGAGAGCCCTCCATAATGAGTGTTTTTCTTTCCCCCGTGAGAGTCTGTTTTATAATCATTCCCTTAATCCCCTCACCAAATCCCTTCAAACCTTTATTAATCCCAACCAACCCATTCCATTTTCTCTCCCTCGTGAGAGTCTATTTTCACTCCCTTAATCCCCTTCGTCCAACCTTTATTATGCCCAACCAACCTATCCCACCGAAATTTATATTCAATCCCACTTGTCAATTTCCCCTTTCCAATCCCTTCATTGTCCAATTAGGTTTGCATCTAGCGGTACCCAATCAACCTCACCCTTAAAACCCTAATCTTTGAATCTGGATCTACGCGTTGTGGGTATGGATTGCAGAGATAAGGGGAGGGGTCCACTGAACCTTATAACTCCAGAGGGAAGTACCAGGAACACAACATATCTCAAGAGGGTTAGATCGAAAGGATATGACAAAAGGAATCAAAATAAATACCCCAACCTACTTCGAATGAACATTTACCCCCAACCACCCAAGGTATTCATGGCAATTAAGGAAAGCCTAGCTACCAGAGTACCTAACAGAGTAGAGAATAAATGTTTTAAACCTCCAATGAACAGGTACGTACAATCATTTTTTCCTCTTGTGGTCCTACTGTTTTTACAAAAAGATTCACCACTCTGTGAGGCGAAAAGGAAAATCAAGGGTTATTCATACAACAAGTATCAAAGCAAGCAAACCGTTTACTTGTCATATGTACTCGTGCAAACAATCCATCCAAGTCGGCAAAGTTAGGGATTGATTGCGAATCCAGAGGTTGAGGAACTTGTGGTCCGTTTTGAAAGATCCATAGAGTTGGCAACTATGGAAAATGGGGTCAAACTAGTGAGGAAGGTTCTGGTCAACAGAAATCTCAACAAATGGGGGGTTAGAAATATTCTCCGCACTACGTGGAATGAAATGGGGGAATAGAAATTGAATGGGTTCGGGAGAATACGTTTATCATTATTGTGCATGATGCAAGTACGACAACAAAAATCCTTAATCAAGTGCCTTAGTCATGAAGCAAAATTTCTTTGTTCAAAGATGGTCACCAGAACTCACTTTGGAGGAAATACAGTTGGAGCTTGTTCTTTTCTGGGTCCAGATACATGGGGTTCCGCTATACCTATGCTCGGAAGTAAATGTCAAGTAACTTGTAAGGAAAATTAGGGAATTCCTGGATCTTGAAAACCTGTCTACTACATGGGGCTTCCTTGGAGTTAAAGTATTAGTGAACACGCCAAATCTTCTAATCACTGGTTGCTGGCTACCAAGAGATAATAACGATGACACTTGGATTGAGTTCCGCTATGAAAGACTCCAAAATTTCTGTTACCGATGCGGTAGAATTGGGCATTCAAATAATGAGTGCTCTTTTGAACCCACGAAAAGGGGTGATGCATGGTATGGAGATTGGACTAGAACGGTGCCAATTCGAGAGACGACAGAAACTCAATGATTCTTAGCTGGCAGTTCGAGTGATCGTAGGCAGGCAATAGTTCGAAGAAGTGGAGTAAAGTCATTCGCCCAAAGGCAAGACGAGAATAGGGTTGGGGAGAGGGGATATAAACTGAAAGCTTGACTATGCCTTCTCCCACAATAGAGACAAATGGAAGGAAGACAAGTCAGAAAAGATGGCACATAATAGAGAGACGAATGGAAGGTACATCATTCAACCCGGCCCAATGGGTTTGAATGAAAGCAACTCTCAAATAAACTACCAGATGATACTGAATTATGGGCCATTGGGCTTCCCAAACACTCACACTATGGACCTATATAGAAGGCAAGCCCGAATCCCGACGATCTGGATTGAGGAGATCCCATATGAGATTAACTCTTAACCATTGGGGGTGTCTTAGATGAGAGACCATTTACAGCTCTTGCAAGCCTCGAGGGGAAATGAAGTGATAAGCAAGGTGAGTCATTTGAATATTTCATCCCATATACCAATGGCAGATAGTGGAAATCAAAGAGCCTAGCAAGAATGCAACCCCAACCTTGTGGGGATTTGTGAGGCAGTAACTCCAAAAGAGGGGCGAATGCCTGTGAGATGGACTTAGCATTGACTCAATCCCCGCAAAAAATAAAAAAAAAGAAAAAAACAAACAGACAGAGGGATCTAAAAATATCATTGAAAGGAAAATGAAAGCGGCGGAAAAATTAAGGAAAATGAGTGTAAGGAAAAGATGCTTGATGATGGAATGAGCAATCTATGCGAAGGAGGAGTTGCAGGAGATCCCAGTGGAGTACCAAGACATGTGGGATTATATGGAGGCAATAACAGAAGAGGAAAAGAAGTCAATGAGCATTACGAAAGAGGGAAGTTCTTCCCAAGGTGGTGGCAGCTGGCCTTCAACAGCTGTACGGTCATTATGATAACCCTGTTTTGGAACTGTTGTGGTCTTGGGTCAGACACGGTAGTTTAGGCCCTTCATGGGCTAATAAGGAAGTATAGGCCCTCTATGATCTTTCTATCAGAAACAAAGATGAAAGATCATAGAACTAATAGTGTTAAAGACCGATCAGTTACTCGGCTGGCTACAATGTTGCTCCAATCGGGACGGCTGGATGTTTGAGTTTATGGTGGGATGAATCAGTTGAGGTGGACATGGTGGATTCATCAAAATACTTCATTGATGCCTAATGTATAGTTATGGAATCACAGCATGCTTTCCGACTAACGGGGGGTTTATGGCACCTCCTACAGAACATAGAGTGCGGCTTTTCTGGCAAGGTATGATCAATGACTTCTACCCATCTACCACCCATTGGATTTGCAGAGGTGATTTCAACGATTTTCTGTGGGATTGGGAAAAGTTGAGATAAGCGGAGGTCCAACACAACAGGTATAGATACCTGGGGGAATTCATGAACATTATGGAATTAATGGATCTGGAGTTTAACAGCCCCAAATTTACTTGGAGGAGACATCACAACAGTTAAGTTGTTGAGGCTCGATTGGATCGTAACTTAGTAAATAAGGAGTGGTTGGATTTGTGGCCCAATACCATTGTTACTCATGGTACTGTATTGTGTTCGAACCATAGCTCGATTATAGTCTAAGGTGAGCCTAGTTGTGGAAAGGGTAAAAGACTATTCATGTTTAAAGCTTACTTGTCCAAAGAGATTAAATGCAAAGAAATTGTGAGGAATTGCTGGGAAATGCACTACTTGGGAGATAACATGGATAGATAGAACAAAAGAGTGAATGATTGTCGTTCAAAATTAATCGGTTGGAGTAGGACAAAATTCAAGCTCAAGGGGCGGCAGATTGAGGAAAAGTTGACACACCTTGGGAAATTGTAAGAAGACTGGGGAAAGGATAAAAAGCTGATTAAGGATCTATCACTGGTGGTGGATACGTTGTAGAGGCAGGAGGAAAGCTTTTGGCAACAAAGATCAAGAGTGAAATGGCTTCAAGAGGGAGATGCAACACACTAACTTTTTCCATCAATCCACCTTGCAGAGGCGAATGAGGAATAAAATGCTCAAAATTAAAGACGAAAATGAGGAATGTATTAAATGTCCTAAGAGAGTGAAGGAAACTATTGACAAACACTTTGTCTATCTGTTCACGTCGACGGGCCATAGGGAATGGGGAACGGTTTTAGATTGTATCCAGCCTAAGTTGACTGCTGATATAAACTTTTCCCTCATCGCCCCCGTCTTTACAGAGGAGGTCAATGATGCGCACTTTAAATAGGGGGATTAAAGGCCCCCGGCCCTGATGGTTTCCAAGGCATTTTTTTACCAGTCATTCTAGGGAAATATTGCGGAAGACGTCAATGGGTTAGTTAATCTTATGAAGGGCAATATCAATCATAACCGTATTAATTCCACACATGTTGTCTTCATCCCGAAAGTCCCAAATCCGGATTCTATTTCCCAATTCTGCCCAATCAACCTCTATAACTATTCTTACAAAACATTGTCGAAGGTCATAGCGAATCGCCTTAGACTGTTGTTGCCGGAGCTGATTTTCCCTTTGCATAATGCCTTTGTTGTAGGAAGACATATTCAGGATAATATTGGCATTGCTCATGAGCTCTTCTATTTCCTCAAAACGCGATGAACAAAAAGAAAATTCGAGCTCGAGGTCAAATTAAACATACACAAGGCTTATGACAGGGTAGAATGAGACTTCCTACTGGTTGTCATGAAGAGGATGGGGTTTGATCAAAGCTAGCGCTGTCTTGTCTTCAAATGTATTTCGTCGGTTGACTTTTCCATTCTGTTAAATGGTCAACCTAGACAGAAGTTTGCTTCCTCTCGTGGCCTTTGTCAAGGCCAACCTTTATCCATATATCGTTTCATGTTCGTAAGTGAGGTACTCTCCCTCCTCATCACGCGGGCTTATGAAGACAAATTGATTATGGGGGTTCAAATTAACCTTCATGGGCCTGTTATTTCCCACATTTTCTTTGCGGATGATACATTATTCTTTTTAAATGCTAATATGGTGAATTGCAACAACCTAGTGAAGTTAATAAACGAGTATTGTGAGGCCTCTAGGCAGCAGGTGAACCTCTAGAAATCTAGTGTTTTCTTCGGTGCCAATGTCCCGGTGGCCTTATCCGAATAACTCGATTGCATTTTTCGGATGCCAATTGTTGATGACCCAGGGACTTATCTTGGTGTGCCAACCATGTGGGGAAGATCCAAAAGGATGGGGCTGGCTTATGTAAATGAGAGTATTTTGGGGAAAATTCAGGGATGGAAACATGCAACATTATCGCAGACGGGTAAAAAGGTTTTGATTAAGGATGTGGTCCAGGCTATCTAGGCCTATTCGATGAACCTTTTCAAATTTCTTGCTACCATTTGCAAAGAAATGGACTCTTTGATCTCTAACCTTCTAGTGGGGGCATAACAAGGAAGAGAAACACATTCACTGGGTCTCCAAGGATACTATTGGGCTATTGAAGGCAATAGGGGACTTAGGTTCAGATGCTTCATGGATTTTAATGATGCTTTCTTGGCGAAACAATGTTGGCGTTTCATCTATGAACCTGATTCCCAGTGGGTGAAGGTTCTGAAGGCTCGGTACTTCCCCTATTGTTCTTTTTTGGATGCCAAGCAAGGAGGCTGAGCGTCCTGGGCGTGGTTAAGTTTACTTACGGGATGTGACTTTTTACTAAGGGGGACCCACTGGCAAGTCATGAATGGGAAATAGATTCAGGTTTGGAGTGATAAGTGGTTACCATCCCTCATGGTTTGGACACCTAATCCCTACCGAGTCGGTATAGGTTAGCCACAACACTAAAATGCATTCATTAATTAATCATGATAGTGGCAACTAGGATATCAACTTCTTAAAACCGTTTATTTCGACAGTTGAGTATGAGGTAATCTTGGAAACTTATATTGGCGATCTCATACTCTGAGACAAGTTCGTGTGGCCTTTAGATAAAAATAGGCTCTACTCAGTTAAGTAGGGCTACCACTGTGCATTCACGGGTGATTTCAAGGACCAACCTCAGATCGTCGTCATTTATAACCATCCTAGATTCGCTATGGAATTTGGTGTGGAAACTTAAAACCATGCCAAAAATTAGATGCTTTATGTGGAAGATGGTGCATAATGCCCTGGCCACTATGGTGGCCCTCTATAGACGGAAATTTGCCTCCTCACCTCTATACCCGCTATGCAACTCTCAGGAGTAATTGATTAAGCACATTTTCCTCCTTTGCCCGTGGGTGGAAACTATTTGCTTTGGTGGAATCTTAAATTACAAGGTAAATCGGAATGAGATTACAACGTGGACGAATTGCCTTTTTGTAATTTTCAGGGCCAACGATAAGTCAAAGGCCGATAAGGGGAGGATCCTGACTTGTGTTGCTTTCTTTTGTTGGTATATTTGGAAAGCTAGACGTTAGTTCCTCTTCTAACAGAAACAAATCATCCCGTCCTAGGTGTTGGCAACTATATTTACAAGCATCAGAGCTTTCATGGAGGCTTCGAGGGCTTCCACCAGGAGTGTGGTGCAGCGTAGACTTGGCAATCCTGTGCAGAAGCGTTGGACGAAGCCAGCCATCGATCTGTAAAAATTAAGGTCGACGCAAGCTGGGTGGTCGCCACGAATGAGGGATTTGCTGGGGTAGTGGTGAGGGACTCTTCTGGCAATTTCATTACTGCTCGCAGATTCCGTCTCAATGCTCCAAGCATCGCTGCTGTTGAGGCGATGGTCATTTTGCGTGGATGTGATTTGGGTTTATCCTTGGACCTGAACCATGTGGTTGTAGAATCTGTTCCTTGGATTCCATTTTGTGCCTGAGGGGAAAGATAACAAATGGCAGATGGGAGGCGTTTCCAACCTTAATGAGGTGCAAGAAAGTCGGGGAATCCTTCCATGACTGTTGCTAGCCTTGGACTCTAAGATCAGCCAATATAGTGGCTGACCATTTGGTGTTGCGAAGTTGCGTGGAGATGTGTGACTTTACTTGGGTCGAAAAACCTCCATCTTAACTTGTTCATGTACTAAACAAAAATGGACTACCTTGCCCGCATTAACTTTGTTTTGGTTGTGCAAGGGGTGACGCTTGTTGCTTTCTTTGTAGGGTTCGGGTTTCTTTTTCCCCTTGCACTTCCTGGTTTGTTTTTTGGTTGCTTGCCTCGCTGTGGGCTTTCGTTGTAATCTTTGGCATCTTTGCCCTGGTTATATAATTTACAGTTCTCCAAAAAAAAAAAAGGTCGATTGTAAGTGGTATGAACCGAGATCTGCTGTGCTCAATTAACTGTTGCTCAACCTGTGACAAGCATGTTACTTGACACCTGTTCCATATAACAGAAGCTTTAACAATGTTAAGTTTACAGAAAAAACAAAACAAAATAAAAAAAGATAATGCTAACGAGATTAAATTTGTAGACAAAGTCTGTAAACTAAATGATTTGTCACCAATTAGAATGAGCACGTTTATCAACACTTAACTCATAACCCAATTATCAACTTTTATGTCATTTAATTTACAAAATTTTGTGTATAAATTTAATTTCCTTAGAATTCCCCATTAACAAAAAACCATGAGAAACTTGAATTTATTACTCCGTTTAGTCTCCGGCTCCATCGTTTACCCCTCCAATTCAAATTCAAATATAAAGGGAACGAAGCGGAAATCGGGATGCGGGGAGAAAGAGAAAAGAGGGGGACAGATATCTGTTGCGGTTGCAATCGGCGGCCGGAGTGGCTGACGGTGGAGGCCAGGTTTTTCTGTAAACTTAACACTGTAAACTCCTGCCGTGTGAAGGACGGGTGTCAAAGTCTGAAAAACAACATGTTTGTCACAGGATAGGCATTGTATATTTGGGCACAGCAGATCTCAACTCTCAAAATTGCAGCCCACACAAAAGCTTTCCCCTAAGCGGGCGTCATCACTCTCTTCCTGTTGACACGTGCCCTTCTCCATCTCTCTCTCTCTCTCCCCCGCCTCGCCTTAAGCTCCGCCACTTCCATCGGACCCTCTCCTCCTCTCTCTTCCTCTTTCTCTCTCTAAAATCAAATTAGGAGGTGAGTTTTGGTTTTGGTGTTGAAGCTCGCTCGGACCGAACCCGATCTTGGTGGCTGAATCTCCGAAGCTGAGGTCGAATTTGCAGTTGGACCGAGCAATCCGTACCCTCTTCCTCTCCTTGCGTTCTGCCATATGTTAGTTCCCAATTCAATTTCTCTCTCACTCTCTCTCTCTCTCTCTCACTAACACATACGCACATTGTCTCCCTCTCTCTTGCTTTCTCTCTCTATGTCAACCATGCACTCGCAGAGGCTTTAATTCTCTCTCATCTTTTTGTGACTGTTGTTCTGAGCTAGGGTTTGTTCTGGTAATTTGAATGGCAGGGTTTGAGATTGTTTGGTGAAATTTTGGAAGAAAAAGAAAGAAGCAAAATTGTTTTGCATTTTTGGCGGTGGACCATCATGAGTGCCGGTGGTGGTAAACAGTTGATTTCTGTTCTTCCTGATGAGCTCAAATTCCTATGTACTCTCTCTCTCTCTCTTCCCATCTCACTGCCCATATACGTACATGCATGCCGCTCTGGGTAATCAGAAGGGTTTATAGTTGAATTATTTGTGGGAAATTGATCATGATTATACTGAATTGATCATGGAAAGATGATTTTTTTTTTTTTTTGGAGAATTATTGAATTGCATGAACACAAAAGTACTGGAATTTCCTTGATGATGATTGTGTTTGTTTTTCTGGGTGAATTGAAGGGGAAAAAATCATTGCTGTTAGTTTTCTTTTCTTAATTAAAATTAAACAATAGATTGTTCGACTATATTTATAGCTCATCAAGGTTTATGATCTAGAGGCAAAGGTAATTAGGCTGCGATGATTTCTAAGATCTTAAAACGTTTGCGTTATGAGTGACGGTAAATTTATGGTTGAACTGATTACTTAGATGATTTGATGCGTGACAAATGGAATTCAAACATGTGTTAAGGAAAAAATTCGAGGGGGATTTCTTTAGTTTATACAAATGATGTGTGCTTGACCTCTCATATCCGACACCAGTCCTTTTTGTTGATTGTTATTTTGCTTCTCTTGTTGGGTACCTCATGGCCTCTGGATTTGTATCCTTTTAGGTTTTTGAGCTGCACCTGTTAACCTTTGTCTTAACTGTTTCCCATGAATTTGCTTGCCCTAAGTTTCATACTTATGTTGTGCTCTATATATACACATAAATAAGACACACGTATACCTAATTACCTATCTATGCGTGTGATAAGTGGTTCCAGCTCTCCTCTGGTTATTGGAAGGGTTCAAATTGAAACAGTTCCGGCTAATAGGGTGAACCTCATAAATACATATTGGACTTGTACATAATTTTGATTATAGTTAGTGCTATGGCCAGGCAATTTCTTTTCAAATTCTGGCATAGAAAGTTTCTTCTTTTCTTGCTAATGTTGTTGGATAAAATGCTAATTAATTTGACTTTCTTGATCAGTTGAGCTGGAAAAGCAAAGCTTTTGTGATCTAAAAGTTGTCAATAACACAGAACACCATGTTGCTTTTAAGGTACCGATATTGTTCATAAATGAATTTATTAATAACTCGATGTTTATTCAATATAGAAATCGCTAGTGTATTTTTTTTTTTTTTTTTTTTTTTGTTTTTATTACTCTTGTTTCTAGGTTAAAACTACTTCACCTAAGAAGTATTTTGTACGGCCCAACACTGGTGTTATACAAGCTTGGGATTCATGTGTTATCAGAGGTAATACTCTTCTCATCACGTTTTTACAGTTTTCATTTGCTTTATAATCTTATTTCTTCACCTCGCAAATCAGAAACCTCTGAGACTGCCCATCAAGTGATCTCCAGTATTGCTGAACCTCTCAGGCAATAATTTCAAATGGAAAGTTTACAATCTAAGATTGTATTATGGCCAGTCATAAGAATGTAACATATTGTTCATGTACTGTCTACAAGTGTTTATTATACTCACTTTAATATCTTTAAAAGCTTTTGTAATACTGGCGTCCAACTAACTGCTGGGTGTGCAGTCACCCTCCAAGCCCAACGGGAATATCCTCCAGATATGCAGTGCAAAGATAAATTTCTTCTACAGAGTACAACAGTGCCTCCAAATACTGATGTTGATGACCTTCCACAAGATACTGTAAGAATTTTAAGTTGGACAGCAGTCACTCTGTTTGACTAGCTTGATTTGTCATTTTAAATAACTACTTGTTCTTTAATGTTACTCTAGTTCACTAAGGAAAGTGGAAGGGTTTTAGAGGAGTGCAAGCTTAGAGTTGTGTATGTCGCTTCGGGTGCTCAAGGAAACTCAGAAGATGAAGCTACGAGGAGCTCCATGCGTAGTCTTGATGCTAATTCTGTGAGTCTTGTGGTGCTTTCCCTTCGGGTTTTCTCAAATGTGTTTGTGTTTTTGCATAATAATGAATCATGGTTGTGTATCTTATTGTTCAGGGCTTAGGGAAGTTCATTAATCCACTGCTTCACAAACTTAATCCAAAGATTGTGTTGCATGTTACATTTCATCACTTGCAATACAAAGTGTATGTAGAAAGAAAAAAAACATCAAGTATGACTTCTAGTGATTAAATGTGGTCGGTGAATGAAGTGAGTGGTTTAGCATGTTTTAATCACAATTTATTAGGATTTGTTCAAAGTTTATTCCACATATTAGATATCTGCAGAAAAATCGTATGTCTAAAAATTAATAATAAAAAAAAAATTACGAAATCATGTGAAGTTTGAACCATCTGACTTGTATTTGGAATTATATGAAAACTATGCGCTCCCATTTGTTTAGTTGACTTTCTTTCCGTGCCTACTGTGAACTTGTAGCAGCCCAGTATAAAATGTCTTGATAGGCTTATTGCAGCGATTCATAATATATTTGAATTCATTTCATATTCTAACTCTTTAAAATTTGTTTTATATGTAGAATCAGGCTTTTCAGCGCCTGAAGGAAGAAAGAGATGCATCTGTTAGACAAACACAGCAACTTCAACAGGAACTGGTTAGTAGTTAATTCTTCTTCTGCTTTCTCTAATACACACATATGCAGAAAGACTCGATTATTAACCTAAGTAGCTTATCCTTGATTGTTTGATCTTTTCCTATAGCTAGAGATCGACCATTAGAACTTGGTGCTTTAATCCCGAGTCCTGACCATGGAAAGATTTTAATATCAAATCTGATGGTACATGATTAGCTACGTGCTAGAGTCACGTGCAGCGTGCTTGCACACACACATATATAATACAACATTAAGACAGACTTGTCACAACTTATAAAAGCAGGAAGAATATAATTTTATGAGGTGACCTCAGGGATTCCGGAAAATTGAAGACGGGGAGCTATTTGTGGTCAAATAAAATTGGCAGTATTTATAATTTGCTTAATGCTCAGAACACTGCCGGAAGTTAATGACCTGGTATCTGTAATACGGGCGATGTTGATAGGAGCTGAAATAGGCAGTGGAAGTATAATCATATAAACTATATGGAAATGTCCTTCAGAAGATGGTTTAGATAAATATGTCAAACGATTCAAACCCCGCTCTCACCACTGGCATTCTCTTTTGTCCAGGATATATTGAAGAGGCGAAGATTTCGGAAGGGTGACTCAGGCTTTTCCTTCACCTTCGCAATTTTTGTGGGACTTATTGGACTCATGGTTGGCTTCCTTTTGAACCTTTCGTTGTCTTCACCAACTACAGAATGACTTCGACGTTTTTATTCAGGACATCAGGAAATATTTTCTTGACAAATTCGTTGTATAATTTATTTATGTTCCGTTTGCTGGAAAGTTTGCTTTACTTCCTTTTTTGTATATTGATGATTGTTGCAAATTTGCATCATGATTAGTTGATTTATTGAATATGTTTCTGTTTCACCATCGTGTTATATGCTCAGTAATCCGCATGCCACGTTTCTGACATTGTTCGGAAGGTCTCCCGAGAAAAACTTGCGTATCACATGTTCCATATCCCTTTACTACATGCAATGCCGTGTGCCCTGGAAGTTTCTCACTGCTTCCCGTCTTGGAAATTAGTTTGCAGCTTGTCAGTGTGGATTGCAGCAATGGTTTCTTAACTTTAACTCAATTGGAGCAATGATCTCTTAATTAAAAACCAATTACCATTAGTTCATTAACTCATCAAAACGTGTAGCTATGATTTTTTAACTAAAAATTAATTACCATTAATCCCTCAACTTTAATCCAACTAAAGAAATGGTCCTTCAATTTTAACCCAATTGGAGTAATGGTCCCTCAACTTTAACCCAATTGTAGCAATGGTTTTTCCAGCATAACTCATTTAGACAAAATTTTGACAAAGTTGACCAAAAGGACCATAGCTACACGTTTTGATGAGTTGAGGGACCTCAATTGTAGAATGGTCATTCCAACATAACTTATTTTGACAAAATTCTAACGAATTTGATAAAAAGAACCATATCTATACATTTTGATGAGTTGAGGGATCAATAGTAATAGATTTTTAGTTGAGGGATTATTGCTACAATTCGATAAAAATAGAGGAACCATTGCTACAATTTACTTCAACTTAAAAATACCCTTTTGCAAGTTAATTGAACGCTGTTTTCTCAAATTTCTGATAGTTATCATTCTAAGGTAATTTGAAGTTTGGGAGGTGATATTTCTGTAACCTTACCCGCTTCAAGTGGAATAGTTTTGCTTGCTCAAGATCTTCTGCAAATCTTCCCAATGTGTGATATTCGTATACTAACTTTCACCACGATTCTGCGTCATTACACTCTATTGACATTAGCTCAACGGAAATGCTAAACACATATCATTTTCTCCTCACACATCACCCTTTATTGTTGCCCACTAAATTGAATAAATCAAATGAAAAGAAGCAGCACGATTAAATAAAGACGTGTAAAAGTAACTTAATAGTATTAATTCAATGATGCACAAAATTTGTTCCATCCCGATAGTTGGACGCAAAAAAACCTTAAAATCCTGTTTTTGTTAAATCACAAGAACAGGACTGCAAACAGATATTAATCCTAAACTACAGCAGTGAACATAAGCAACAAATTAAACCACAGTACACATTGCTGCCCTATGAAGAAGTGAAAAAAAAAAAAAAAAAAAAAAAAAAAAAACCCACCACTAGGAGATGATCGTGGGAATGGCATGATTAATCCAACTCTAAAAATTAAAAAATAAATAAATAATTTTTTTTAAAAACTTACAAAGTTCACACTTTAAAAATCTTACAGAGTTCAACACACTTGCTAATTAAACATTTAAAATTACCCAAAAATTACAATGATAATGATATGTTAAGATGAGATGAAGAAAACCTTAAAAGAATAAAAAAAAATATGTTTGTGAATTAGTAATCATCATTGCCCTTGCTCTTCTTCTTTCCGAATGGTGGACTTGCACAAAGATAATTACATTTTAGAGTGAATAGTGAGGCAAATCCATTGTCTTTGCTCTCCAATTGTCGTTGGGCCATTGCTCTCCACCAACGGATGAAGATGCTCTTATGAGAGAGAGAGAGAGATATACCATCTGAATCTGGATCTGGGCCATTCAATCAGGTTTGGACTTAAGAGGCCCAAGTTACACTAATTTTTTTGCTTCTTAAACAAAGAGAGAGAGGGGAAAATGGGCGGGAACTCTTCGGGTGCTAAATCTCAAATACTACACGTGCGAAAATTGGCGCCCATCCTTTCCCCTCAAATTCCAATCCCTCTCTCTGTCCGATCCAAATCTCATCAATCAACCATGGAAATGGCGACTCGCCCCACCGACTCAGCCCCCATCACGCCAACCATCTCCGAGTCCGAGAAGGCCTGGCACCTTTTCGCCCTCCTTTTACAACTCGGCTGCCCGACTCACCTCTCCGAGCTCGCCTCCCGATGCAAATTGTTCCCGGCATCGCCTCACCTGGTCCGATCCCTTTGCTCCATACCGCGCTCTCCCCTCTACTTATCGGACCAGCTCTATGTCACGCCGTCTTTGGCTTCATTGGCAACTTTCCTAGAGTTCTTTTCACATCGCAGTGCCGGGGATGCAGTGAGAGTCTGCTTGGGGAAGCGGAAACTGGCCGTTTGGGATTTCGGATTCGGGCCTCCGGCAGAAAAGAGATTAATTCTGGATTTTGGAAATGGTAACTGTTACATTTAGTCGTAGTTTCTAGCTTTTTGTTTGCGATTTAGTGTATTTGGTTGGTAATGGTGGTGATGAACTGCAGTGAATGAAGAGTGTAGAGCGCGGAAGGCAGTTGGAAATACTCGTTCGAAGGTACGATTAAATTCGTAATTTCTGCTTTTTTTTTGTGTTTTTTTAATTTAAATTTTAATCTGGAAATGTTAAACTAACGAAAGAAAAAGAATCACTTTAATCAGGGAATTTGTAATCCTAAGAGAACACAAAAATATGTTTAATTTTTGCTTTCATTTTTTGTAACGGAAGACTTGGCGCAAAACCGAGCGCAGTGGGTTTCTAGTGTTCATAAGGCTTTGTCGTTGTTGATGATAGAGAAATATGTGCTCATGTATATGTGTGTATTTACATATGTATATATATTTTTGACATTTATCATCTTTTATATCTTGTTTGAATTTGAGGTTTTTCTATTTCGTTTGAAAGGCGATTCTTTGTATAAATAAAGTGAAACAAAACATATTGCTTTTCTGGGAAGCTTGTAATTCAGATCAATTTTTGCAGTCACATTCTCATATGGCTGACTACTACTTCTGCAAATACATAAATATGCTACAAAGTTGGATGACACTAACGGTGAACAAATCGATGTTAAGTTCTTCGTTATTTATCGATTACAGAACCGAACAATCAAGTTCAGGACTGAACAATGTTGATCATGTTGAGGAGCAAGAGGCGGGCACCAATATAATTGTTGAAACGAAGGTTAACAGGCCAGTAATGGATTGTGTAGTTGGTTTAGAACCGGTTCTTTCAATCATGGCATCCGATGATTTAGTCCTTTATGAAGGAGCTAACATACATGAGATGGATTGCAGTGGGTATTTTTTTCTGGAAGAAATGATAGAGAACAATATATCACCAGTCGCGGATGAGAATGTTAATGGTAGTTGTAAAGCTACAAATGTTGGAATCGTTGAAGTTGAAAGAATTGTTGGAGGTGTGGAGGAAGAGTTGTTAGTGGCTACTCGCAGCCCTAATGGAGAGAGAGAAAATTTCTCCCAGCCAAATACTGCTAGTTATGATATGTTGCCTAGACGTAAGTTAAAAAGATTGAGAAAGGCAAATTGTGAAGATATGATGCCTCTGAATAAAAGGCAAACAAGTAGACATGAGACCAAGATCATATGTTCAGCTACTGAATTTTCTGTTTCGCAAAAGAAATTGTTGAAGCCCTCCTCCAAGACGAAGGGAAGTGACAAGGATAAAATGGCTCGGAGACTGCAATCACACAACTTAGAGCATGACCAGGCTGTTGCCACTCCCAAAGAGAACCAGCAGCGTGAAACAAATCAAAAGCCAATCAGCATAGTACAGAAATTAAAACGGAATTGTGATGGCATGCATACTAATGAAAGAAATGGACGCCATAAATCTGTTTCTCTTAAGGTATGCTACGCTTCCGAAATATAATTCTTCTCTGTTTCAACGAGTGCACGTATGCTTTTCATTTATGATCTTGTGCTTAGTAAGTATCTGATACTTTGTAGGATCAACCCGAGAAAAAGGAATTTCCAATTTTTGAATCTTATGTTGTAGAAGAAGAAGAAGGTTCAGGTATATAAAGATCTGACTACGTGGGATTTTTCACACCTCTTTCACACCTCTTTCAACCTCTTTGTCGTTAATGATTTTCTTATTTTGTTTCCCAAACTGGTAGGAGGTTATGGCACTGTTTACAGGGCACGGTTAAAAAATGACGAGAAAAAGGTCGCCATTAAGTGTAAGTAATTTTTAATAATTAAGTCAACTTTCTTTTTCCTAGAAACTGCTAGCTTTTCACTTGGAGATATTAAATAAACACCAAGCGAAAGGAAAGGAATGGAAAGGAAAGCATGTACCCAAATGTTATAGCCATCCAGTGACACCCCAAACTTTCAGTTATCTAATAAACTTAAACACTCAACTGTGCACTGTCATCATATGCTGCCTACGTGCCTTCTATAAATGTAAATACATTGCAACTTGGCTAATTAATAATGTGTGCTTGTTGATATATTTTGGATAATTTATGATGTAATTTAGGTGAAAGAATGGAATTCAATTAAGTTGGGTGTGAGCCCAGTTGAAAAGAAAGAGTGGAGTTGCAATCGGAGGTGGTTTGCATTCTGCATATCGTGTACTCCAACCCGTTTAAGGCATGAAAGGGTTTATAGCTGCCCCCCAAACCCCCTTATAGTTAAACTTAAAGTGGCCTACTGGAAGGGGTTTCAGGTCCAATGGGAGGGTGTTACTCAAACCCACTTTTAGTTGAACCCAAAAAGAAGTTCCTAATCTCATATTTCTTTAATTGCTCTGCAGGCCCGCATGCTAATGCTCATAAGCATCATGTTAACAATGAGTTAAGGATGCTGGAAAGGTTTGGGTAAGTGTTTTAAACTTCAAGTACAAAATTTAGATCTTTGGCGGCATGCAGTGGTGAGATTTTACCTCCCAGTGAATTTTGTAATGTAGGGGCAAAAACTTTGTGATAAAATATGAAGGCCATATCAAGAATGAAAGTTCCAGTTGCTTTGTACTGCAGCACGTTGAGCATGATAGGCCTGAGGTGATTATTGGATATTTTCTTAATTCTTCTCCTCTTCTTTTGAAGCTTTTGTTTGACATTGATTTTACTTTTAGGTTTTAAAGCAAGAGATAGGTCTTTCTCATCTACATTGGTACGGCTATTGCTTGTTTAAGGCATT